TCGATTAACCAATTAACCAATAAGCAAAAGCTTATCGGTTAATGCTATAGACTACCCGCATTTCCCTCTCCTCCCTGCCAGTACATTTTTTAGCAGGCTAGCCAAGAGCCTGGCTCAGTCCTGGCTTGCTCTGGGTCCGGGACCTATCCTCTTGCAGCTCTGCATTTCAAGTGTATTGGGAGCTGGGCGGACAGGCAGGCCAGCTCAGTTCTGGCAGACCCATCCCGGACAGGGGCTGCTGCCACTCCTGTATTGGGGACAGCAGCATGGGGCAACAGGCAGCCGGTTCATGAGGGGAGCTGGTTTTTAAACTGGCTCCCCTCAGAGACCAGCTCCCACCTGGCACCCTGCACTGCTGCCTCTGGTACACTGACTGCCCCTGGGGACTATCAAATAGTTGACTAACTGATAAAATTTCATGAGGTTACTCGACTATTCAATTAACCGATATTTAACATCCCTAGTAAGGCCCGCTAAATTGACTGCTGATAATGCTTCTGTCAACTCCAGTATTCCACTGAGTCACAAGGAGTAAAGGAAGCTGACAGGAGAAACTCTCCCGTTAGCCTCTTGCAGTAGGGATGCCGCAGAAAATCGATCTAAAGTCTGTCGACTCCAGTTACACTATTCACGTAGCTGGAGTTGCATGTCTTAGGTGGGCTTTCTCCCTTAATATAGACCTGCTTTCCCTCCCCCATAACCCACAATAAAGTCAATCTCAAAACTCAGCGCTGTGATTAGGCAAACTATTCACATTCAATTTCAGGAGTGACGGGTGGTAAGTAATAGCAACCTTGATTAAACCCCAAAAGCCCAAGTAGCACAAAGGAATGCAGGGCCTAGGCTGATTAAATGCCAAGGGGGTGGAGGTGGGGCCGTGCCGTGGTTGCCACCAACAGTAGAAGTGAAAACAAGGCAGGCATTACCTTGCCTCAGTTGCTGAGATTTCCAGCTCACATGACACTGTTGTCATGGAAATCTTACCAGTTCTGTGTACTGAAAGTGAGCCAGTCCCATTGACTTTAGAAGCAAGCAGCACCTCAGCAGAGTCAAGAGAAGCAAATAGGGGAGGAAAGGTACAGGGATACAGATGAGAAGTTTCAGTCTTAATGCAGTTTTAGGAAATTTTTGGTAAAACTCTTTCTGGCAAGGTCAACTAGGTGACTTGATGCCAACGACATGTGACGCGTTTCACATGAAGTTTGCGTACAGTATGAAAAGATTTCTCCTCAGCAGATGGGCTGCAGAGAGTGACTCAACCATTATTGGAAAAACTCAAGGTCCTTAACAGAAAAAAGACTTGGGTAGGGGTAGGAATGTGGGATCCGTTAAGTTCTGTAAGGTGGCAGTTAAGATTAGAGACATGATAGTTCAGAGACATGAACAAGTGTGTGTTAGAAAAGCACCTCCCTCTTCTACCATTAAAATATGGCAGCATTTATCACAGTCAAAATCACTCCGAATTATGGTAATGTCAGGCTGGATGGGACCTGGAGAAGTCCTCAAATCCAGCTGCTTGTGCTGGTAGGATGAAACAAACCTAACTTGCCTGGTTTAATTTCCCCAAAAAACCCTA